GGCCCTGCAGAGAGCAGGAGTTTGAGGGTGAATCCCTCCGACTGATGAGCCCAATATACTGTGAAGTTTATTTTCTGACTGGGTTGAGACACAGGAAATCAATTCTGAGACCTTTTAGAAATCTGACCATTTTGGTGCTAAACATCCCAAATTTTAAGGAATCCCAAACCGTTTAAGGAAATAATAATTTGTAAGGCACCAGCATATCTGTATGTCGACAAATTTTCTTTCTCTGAGACTGTAACAGTTGGGTTCTGCTACTAAATTCTTGGCCTTTTTTTCTCACTTACTACCCTAAAATTTGAAGGATTGATCCATGTGCCTAAGCTGGGGTCTGAAATGCCTGGTAGAAATACCTCTCAAAGCAATAACACCGTTCTAGGCCTGCTTTCTCTCTCTCCCTGCACCCTGATCATGCCCCATGACTCGGTAAGAAGTCAAAGAAGACGATATATGAAAACATCTAATACATATTCAATACTGTGTCCCCTCCCCACTGTCCCTACCCTGCCAGCCATCTGCTTTCCATTCTTTCCCCAGGTTACTCTCAAGTGCCCAGAATAATAAACCAATGAACATGGGCATTTCCAGATGTTTCCTAGGCATAGACTGATGCTCCAGGATGATGTACCTTTGTAATCTTGTGGGTTCAAGGACCCCCAGCACATGGGCTGTGTGTGGCAGATGTCAGACAAGGCAAAAAGGAGTGATCAAATTCATCTCAAAATATATTGTGTTGTATTTCAGGTTCTCCAGATTTTGAGCACTTGTGTGTGATTCATAAGGCAGTTTTCTTAAGCAGAGTGTTAGATTAAATAGAACATCTGCCCCAAGACATTTGGACTATTAGGCAGCACGTTGTTGTTGTTAAGATGTTAGTTGCCTTACAGAAGTGTCACAAGGAAGAGATGAGCCAGGGTGCAGTATAGCATTGATGAAACACACAACTTTCCTCTAGTTCTTTAATGCTTCCTCCCTCCCATTATCATGACCCCAATTCTACCTTACAAATCTGGCTAGACAAGAGCATGTACATGGGTACAGACAAGAGCTGGAAACACAGGGAATTCAGGACAGATAAACCCCTCAGGACCAATATTTGAGAGTAGCCATACCAGGAGGGGAAGGGGAAAGTTGGGGGAGAGAGTGGGAACTGATCACAATGATCTACCTATAACCCCTGTCCCAGGGGGATGGACAACAGAAAAGTGGGT